ATGTATAGCGCTCCTGATGGTCTCAACGCTTCCCGGGCACCAGACAGGGGAATCGGCATCAGATGAAATAGAGCAAAAGGTCAGACTTACTAGTGAAGATCGATAGAATGGGATTGTGAGTGAAGACGAAAGATGAAAGGTGGAAGAAGATGAAAGAGAAAAATCACCCAAATCACCTCCGATGACGGTTCACGCGGCACTGGGCGGAGAGAGCCAAGACTGCTGGGGTGGAAATCTTAGATCTGATATATGGGGTATTGCATGTGTCTCATATATTTCGTATATCATAGGATATTGCAGTTTATATGATTCAAGTTGCTATTGAGAACTGTACACATATCTTACTCCTCTCCGCATTTGGTCGATGACGCTATGATCTTGTTTATGCTTATCTTGCCACTTTCATATATGCCATATGGCATGTACGACATATATCCATGTATTAAAGAGCCAAGCTCCCATATCTGTTTTATTCCTTCAATATGAACAGTTCTCTCACTTCCATTACCGCTTGAACCATCATCTTCCTCTCCGCTACCGCCCGCACCCTCGGTGGGGGAGTGCTTTTCTTTCTCCAACAATGAATCGGACACAACTTGACCATCAGTAGTAGTATTTCGTATTCTTCGGCAGGCCCTGCCTGATCCTTTCCTAAACAGACGTGCGTGAGTACACAAAGAATATAAGCGCTAAACTAACCAGCATCATCCCGTAGCTCTCCACAAGTCTCTCCTCAAACGCAGCTTCCGTGTTTTCATCGTACTGTATCCTCCCACCAATCTTCATATAAACACTCAACCTCTTCCTTTTCATTCCCCTTCGCCCTACAGATATTCACAATATTCATGGATTTATCAATCGCGCCGAAGATGGATCCCTTCGCAAAATTCCCAACCGAAATTATTTGTCAAATTCTCGAATCTTGCTACGACTTCACCAGCTTAGACGGTCTTCAACAAATATCTCCCCGAGTGAAGGAAGCTTTCAACGGCTCGTTTGAAAACATCACCGAACACGTCCTGAGAAACTACTCCCTCACCTCGCACGGGCTTTATTACTATTTCACGCTCCTAGCCTCCATTCCATCGCTATCATTCACTCTATAAGCCCTCCTAGAAGAGCTCGCTCGGCTCACTAGGGGATGTTATACGACCTATTTCCCTTTCTACCACCCACTCACTAGCTACGGTGTATCAGGCTATAAATATAGTAGCAAAAATATATCTCACTACCTATGCTTGTCTTTAGCGTTTTATCAATCGTCTCGTGTCCGTAGAGCCCCGCCGTCCTATAGCTTCCGATGCCAATATTGTGGATTAGGTGAATAGAAGACTTCCACCACCTAAAGGTAGCGAGCTCATCTAATTCGATGTTGATCCACCATCATGGATCGAGTCTTATCGGACGTATCGAGGCCTCTAGAAACTTGAGCTCTTCCACTAGATCTATTAAACCACTAGCTATGGTCTACGTATGATCTAGACTACTTTATTGAACAATATCTGGAATAGTGTTAGTATCCAGGGGGAATAGAAGAGCTCTAGACGATTTCGGAGTGCCTGGTTGATCTATATTCCTCTAAACCAATAATTCTTAGCCATCGGGCTTCATATTTAGTTGCCGTTCCGTCACTAACCGATTTGACGATATAGATATGCTGGCCTCCGCCAAATATTCAAGATACACGAGTTGATTCGACATGGCGTCGGAGTCCGAGATTTGCGGAGGGCAGAAACGCCGTGCTTGGTTCTTTTAATGCCCTTCGTGCGGTGAAAAAGGCCGTAGTTATCACGCTCTCTGGAAAGTGGATCTCAAAGCATTTTGACGACTTGATATACCTCTTTGGGACATGTGGCGATTGTACCAAATGAGATTCATGCCCCAATCTCGCAGTGTGCTTTCACCACGGGGCAACTTGGTTGGCGGAGAGTCAGAACAAACTGAATGGCCCCCTTCAAGAGCAACGGTGGCACTGAACTTCATTTTGGCGCGGGAGGGAGTCTTGACACTGGAAGTTATGGATTGAATTGTAAAATTAGTGATTGTAGATGATGACCGAATATGAACAAGGCCGTTGAGAAAATGTGCAGTATTTATACCTGACAACTGGGCATTCTGCTCTGCTAATTTAGCACTATGAAATGTAACTATCCGGCCACACGGGATGTGAATGCAATGACGTTGGTTACAATAGTCAATCGGGGTCCTACGCAGGTCGCCCAATATTGACACTATGCAAGGATTCACCTGCTCCTCGTATATACGGTCACAAGTGCTGGGACCGGCCTTTTTGCCTGCCTGGGTATTATTTCGTGAGCTTAAAGAAGCCTAGTGTAAGCTTGGCTCGTGTTCCAATGCACCCTGCTTGCACCTCCTTTTATCTTGGCCAATATACCAACTATCTTGTCCATTCCGTCTATTCCATTTCTATGACTTAATACTTGTAATAAAGCCATACCTTGCCATCCACCTTTTGATCATTTTCACAACGAACCTATTCCAACTTCCCCGCGCAGCTAGGAGAGCAGATAGTTCACATGCAGACGTGCCTGCTGATCAACGTGTCTTAGATCTGCAATGTAGGACTTGCGGGGGGAGGGGAGAGGACTTGGCGGAAGTAGATTCAATCTTGGCATCTCGGCGTCTCTACGACAAGAACCAATCCCATCGTAACTCGTAAGAATGTTCTGCATTTCTGCCGACATTACAATGCTTACCCCGTTTCTCCAACCTATTTGGGAATCAAAGCGAAGCCCTGCCTCGATTCAAGGTCAAGGGACGCCAAGTGATTACCAACACCAGCTGTTTTCCATTACCCGGTATTCAGCAGCTTAAAGAGAGTTACATCGGGGGCTCCATGCCGAGGAAATGGAATTAATATGCGAATGGCGACGAGCCTTGGTATACTATACTGCAAAATCCAGACAGATGATTTCCGTCGTAAACTGCGGAAGCCAGGCACACGTGCCGTGTCTCTCCAGTTTCCCCCACCTCGCCCCCTCTTAAAGCTTACAAGTTGTTGATATGATTTCAGCATATTTCTAGGGTTCCTATTCTTTCTGTTGTCGGAACATTCTTGCTAGCATACTTCTTTTACCCATCATAGAAATCGAAAGACGCGTCTTTCCTGTGATATTCAAGGAAAAAAGACTCGTCAGATGCCCGATGAAGGTCGAAAGGCTGCCCAGTGCACCTCTTCAGGAAAAAGGGACGCTGATATGTAAAGGGAAATGTCGCTAGCCTGGGTAGGGATGGACAGAGGGTCTGGACCTGTCCACTCGGAGACTGTCAGATTGTCGTGATTGATGTGGGAAAACCATTCGACCAAGGAAGACCCTTGAGTCCCATATCTTGTAGGCCCATTGTTGTTCTAGGAACCTGTTCCAGATCATCAGGGTGGGTGGCGAGACGGGGAGGCGGTGACGGTGTACCAGAAGACTCTTGCCAGATAACGTTAGGGTCGAGATTCAAATCGTATTCTACTAATGTTAGCGCAAAAAAGGTTCGAACCAACGGGTACAGATCATTTTTGTCCGAGACGTTCATTTCGGTCGAAATCCCGCTATCGAAGCTGCTATAGGTGAAATGCATAAGAGTATAAAATAGCAATTATGGGGGATTAGGAAGGATGGAATGTCAGGAGGCTGAGAGATTTTATTTGCCTTCGATGATGATATCTCAGCCGACAAGGGCTAACATCTGGCTCTAGAGTATGAACTTGATTTCATACTATTCCGAGCTGAGTCACTGCTGCGAACGGAGCGATCATCTAGTTGTATTACCCTCGGTGGCATTATTCTCCCCCTCTTTGGCTATCATCTCAATGGCGGTCTCCAAACCGTCAACAGACTGCGCATGTCCTCCAGATCACTGCGAATGGTTCCCATCCAGGGCCTGTTTATTCAAATGAATCCTGCATGGAACTGGAAAATAATCAGCCTTGTGCTTTTTCTGGTGGGTCGCACGGCTAACTTTGTTCGGGCATCTAGTCTTAGAGTTGTAAGCAGACGACATACCACAAAACAATATTTCAGGGGAATGAATTAGGACTCACTCTGCGATACCTTGGAAGGCGGCCATATTGCAGTCCCCAGAGAGATCAGCCTGCTGGGATGTTTCAACTCCTCTTCTGGTCTCGGGCCCATACTCCAGGTGTGTGCTTTCGTGGCCACCATCCACTGCGTTGCCGTTGCGGTGGTTACTAAAGAAGTCCATCGTTAGCTGCAACGTCCAAAAACCCAACCCTGTCTCTCGAGACATACTCCGTTGTTGTTTCCGCAAAGATCTTCAACTACAAGGGACTAGGTACTTCCGCATCCTCTGCCACGCCTACTGTGTTCTCAAAGCCCCGAATTACTGAATATCCTGCATGGAACACGTGCCTTCTTGCAGAAACGCCACAGTTAGGACCCTAAACCATCCATCGGACGCCCGACGGGCAAAGAGTCGCAATTAATCTAAAGTTAGTCGTCAAGTTCCACACTCACACCTTCTCCATTAGACTTCCCTGTGCGCATATTAAGCGTCTCTAAACGGCTAGATAAACCCTAAACCACGAAACCCCCCGGGCTTACCCCATATGCTGATCACCTGGGACTGGGCTTGCTATAGGCAATCGCTATACCTGCACATCTTGCGCTGGTGAACTTTAGGTTTGTTTCGTCGTCCGTCCACCGCTGGTGATGACAGTGTTACAGTCGTAGATTGCCGGGTATCTTGGCATTTGTCGGGTTAATTAATGGAAGAAAGATCGTTGCCTAAAGCGATGGTTTGCTCCGTTTAATATACTCATTCTCCGTCAAGGTCCGGCATGTCTCATCACCAGGGTCTGAAGATGGAGATGGAGTTGAGCTCGGAAGACCGGCGGCGATGGGCCTCTTCTCCATCTCTCAGTGTGTTATAAAAGGGACCTTCTTGCTCCCAAGTCGAGGATTCTCATTAGCATCTTCCTGAGTTTCATCATCATCTTCTTCATCTTCATATCATTTCTAACCACAATCATGGGTTTCCTAAAGCTCCTCTCTACGTCCCTTGCGACTCTGGCAGTCGTCAATGCCGGTAAGCTCCTTACCGCCAGTGATGCCGACGCGGTCGTTCCTAGCTCCTACATTGTTGTCATGAATGATGGCGTTAGCAACGCGGAGTTCAAGGACCACCGTGACTGGGCTACAACTGTTCAGGCTCGTATCACGAGCCGCAAGAGTGGCGAGTCCGGACCACGGAAGCATTTCGACATCAATGGCATGAAAGGATACAGCGCTAGCTTCGATGACCGAACCGTCAAAAACATTGCCAGTGACCCAGCGGTATGGCGTTTCATTACCCACGTTGATTCCTCAAGAGCGTGTTGAAATCTGACCCGCAGTGGAAATATAGGTCAAGTACGTTGAACCAGACATGTTTGTGAACGCGACCGAGAACGTGGTTCAGCCCAATGCTCCTTCATGGGGCCTCCCTCGCATCTCTAGCAAGAAGCCCGGTGCTACCGACTATGTGTATGACTCTACTGCTGGTGAGGGCATCGTGGTCTATGGCGTCGACACCGGGATTGACATTGAGCATCCCGACTTTGAGGGCCGCGCTGAGTGGGGCACCAACACTGCTGATAATGATAACACTGACGGCAATGGCCATGGCACCCACACTGCGTCTACTGCGGTGGGCAGCAAGTTCGGTGTTGCAAAGAAGGCCTCTGTTGTTGCTGTCAAGGTCCTTGGTGCCGATGGTTCTGGAACCAATTCGCAAGTCATCTCTGGCATGGAGTGGGCCGTTAAAGATGCAAAGTCCCGCGGCGTCACTGGAAAGTCTGTTATGAACATGTCTCTGGGTGGCGCCTTTTCTCGGGCTATGAACGACGCCGCTGCCAATGTCGTTAAGTCCGGCGTCTTTCTCTCTGTTGCTGCCGGCAATGAAGCCAAGGATGCGAGTAGCAGCTCCCCTGCTTCTGCTCCGAATGTATGCACTATCGCCGCTTCTACCAGCTCAGACGGCAGTGCTTCCTTCACCAACTTCGGTTCCGTTGGTGAGAGCTCCCCCTCTCCCTTAGTGTGAAGCGTGCTTCTTAGTCGGGGAAGCGTACTGACGGTATTACTACAGTCGACCTCTATGCTCCTGGGAAGGACATCACGGCCGCATTCCCTGGTGGTGGCTCAAAGACCCTGTCTGGAACCTCCATGGCTGCTCCACATGTTGCTGGTGCTGCTGCCTACCTGATGGCTCTTGAGGGTGTGGCCTCTGATAAAGCTTGCGCCCGTATTGTCGAGCTTGCTATCTCGTCTATCTCCAGCGCTCCGTCCGGCACGACTAGGAAGCTTCTGTATAACGGTATCAACGCCAACTAAATGGCCTCATCGCCTGGCAGATGATTACGGTATGGGCCCGTGAGTGGCCTATGTATATCTTCTTGGGCGAGCTTTGGCAAAGCCAAACCAGGCCATGTTTATGCGTATTAAACGCATGGTTGTTTATCTAGCTTCGCATACTCTCGTTTAAGTTTGCGGAGATAGTTTATAAGTAACTGCGAGTTCACGGTTATAACAGACTTTCTGACTCTTTCTGACTCTCGACTATGTAGGCAACTACTGCTGGCACAGGTGTCAAAGAATCTACCTAGGAGTAGAAAAAGAGCATTTTTTGTAATGCTTACATATTAGGAAGCAGCCTTCTAGACAGAGTAGCTATTCTATACTACATAGAGAGGCTATTGATAAGGATAGAGCACGTTTGTATATTTAGCTAGGATCCTGGAATATTGATCTGCTCGGGTCATAGGACGAAGACCAGTACCATGGTATGGTGTAACCGTGCCAAGCTTACCAACACCACTAAGTGTTGGTGCGCCCCACCAAACGCAAGTTTGTCAGCTGTTGAGTTTATTCCCAGCCGGCCCAGCCACTGCCCTTCTATGCTACACATAGATCTCCACAGTGGCGCCGCAGGTCATTCTACCGATCGTTTCACTACGCTAGTTAAGGTAACCTTGTGCTGGGGCCGCGTGAGAAATTTCTGCGTGACCCAATATTGTTCTATAATTAATAGGTGTACAATACAGTATGAGGCATTAATAGAGGGTTAGTATCAGACCGACTTGAATTTGAACTCTGGAGTTGTTAGGTATCCGTCCCCGGCACAACATTACAGGAATACGGCTAGCTTTTCTCTACCTGGGTAATTGAGATACATAATTCTGGTTAGCATTTCCTTCAGTCTAGTTACAGTAGCGGTGAAGCAGTGCAGTAGTATACAGATTTTTAATAGCTCAAATTAACGTAGGGTTTGTATTGAAAGTATACAGGGATCCTACCGTATCTTAAGCCCGCGCAATTAGAGACATGATGTTGGAAAAAGATATTGTATAGAGAGTAAGGAATGTCCGCCAATACTGAGGGCGCAATCTGGGAAGAGTCTAGATTGTACTCGCTGTAGCTTCCGGTGACTTAAAGAGCGTGAGGGACGTGAGCCTGAGAACGTCTTTTCGGTGGACGGCCAATGTAAGTATGCGCGAACATTGCGGATCCACGACTCATCTATGCAACGCGTAGGATGCTACGGACCGACCCAAACCTCCGAGACCGCCCACGAGCAGATACGAAGCTGAGCTATCAAGCACGGCTGTAGTAGACACTTTGACAGGCTGAATCTGTCCAAGCTGAAGTTCCGCAGATGTCGGTTTGCGGAATTGAAGCACAATCTTCCCAATGTGGCTGCCCTACTGCATGTGCTAGAATGATTTTTGTCTTTTGGAGCAAGGAAAGATCTTGTCGATCGAGATGGCTTGAATATACCCATCGCGGAAGAAGTCCATCATAGATCGAAGTAAGCTTGCTGCCATATTAGCCTTAGGCATCATGTGAGCAACGACCAAAACTCACCGGCTGATCATCTCGGGCCTCTCCTTGCACATAATGTGAGATGCAGGAGTCTTCTTCGCATCTTTAGAAGGAGAAGCTTTAAAAGCTGTAGTATATCTATATAGTAGAACCCCTTATAAATCGTTAAATTTTTAATCCCCATAGTTACAAATCATATAACTAATAATAATATTAAACCATATATTAAAAAGTTAGGCTTCTCTGGCCTACGCACTAGATCAAGTAATATCCATGGATGTTCAAGTCATGCACTGATATTCAAAGTCGCTATGCTTGAGCGAGGTATATATGAAGGGAATCTGTTTGTGTAACCGAATGTGACCAAGCATATTCGTATTAGAGTACAAATTGAAGACGGAGGGAAGTGACTTGGAAACCAGATCTCTTACCACGAACTAAAGTTTCCAAACCCTCCAGTGCCCTTGGCCCTTTTACGAGCGGGCTCAGGGGCAATCTCCTCGTCCAGAAACTCCACAATCTCATCTTCTTCCTGCCCATCCCGGTCTGCCAGTGCTGCCTTCAAATACTTTCCAACACCCGAGGCTCCGCCATCATTCTCCGCCTCAGCACCGCGGACTCGTTTTCCAGTCCAGGTGACACGGTCATCGTCCGCACGGCGAGCAGCCTCATCTTCCTCTTCTGCAGAAGGACCCGTGACGCCTGTGGCCCGCGCTTCTTCCGCGCGCTTCTGGGTCAGGAAATCCTCGAATGGATCTACGAAGACCGTGATTTCCTTGATGCGGATATCCGGGGTAGGACGATTCGTATTTGATTCCACCGGGTGGATTTCTAGCTTATTCAAAGTAGTGGACGAAGGAGTCGGGTCGTCGATGAGACGGCCGAAGACGGTGTGCTTGAGGTTGAGATGAGGTAGGGCTCGATAGGCGATGAAGCTGAAAGCACAGGTTAGCGCGCTCATTGAGCTAGGGGAAATCGCAAGGGGTCACTTACAACTGACTACTATTCGTGTTTTTGCCTTTGTTAGCCATGCTTAGCGTACCTCGGGCATCGTGCTTCAAAGGCCCCTCGAATTCATCTGCAAAGTATTTGCCCCAGATACTCTCGCCGCCTCGTCCAGTACCAGTTGGATCACCACCTTGGAGCATGAAGCCCTTGATATTACGGTGAAATGGTACATCTGTGTAATAGCCCTTCTTGGCCAACTGAAGGAAGTTCCACACGGCTTTGGGCGCATGCTCGGGATACAATTCCAGATTGAGATGCCCGGCCGTCGTCACAATGCGCGCGTAAGCCTTGGCCTTCACGCGACCCCGCTTGAGCATGTATTCCTCCTCCGATAGTACCGCTAGCTCAGCAGACGTGTGCGGCGTCAGCCCTGTGCTAGTGAATGAGGCAGCCGCCTTGCCCGTGGTGAATCGTGCAGCGTTGTAGGGTGTTGGCTTTCCCGGTTGTGCCTTGGGGGCCACATTTGCAGCTCCAGTCTTCGACACTACTTTCGAGCCAGCCGCAGCAGAACCAGCCTGCTGAGAGCGTTCTGATCGAGCCTTTGCGACCGCCTCTTTCGCTTTCAGGATCTTCGCCGAGCTGCCGAGCGCACTGGTGTTGACGCTCCCAGAGGTCTGTTGGCCCTCCAGAATTCCTGTCTCCCCTTCCTTGATGTAGTTGAACGAGCTGAGGTTGCGGGACTCGATGTTCTGCGGGTCCTGCAAGGTGATAATATCTTTTCGGCTGAATTCTTCATCCGTGACCAAGTCGCGCCACAATTTTCCCTTGATGTTGAGTCGCTCAACCGTATCCCAGGAAAAGACGTTCCCTGTATTCCGTAATGCGACGATATGTGTATTATCTGTCAGAATCTTGTAGGTCACCGGGTCGACGTAGTCGCCATCCTCGTTCTTCGCGAGAGTCAACTTAATCAAGTCCGAGCTCTTCAACGGGGCCCCGTCGACGGGGTTAGTCCCATGCTTCTTGATCCATGGTAGAATATTCGTGAGGTCGAAGAGTGTCCCTGTGGGCGTGCAAACCGGGTGTGAAAATGGTTGCAGGGAGAGGGAACAGAAATTGAATGGCAAGCGCTTGAACGCAGCGTGGGGGCCGCCCTTCTTAGCCTTGGAAACTCCAGCGCCAGCACTGGCGGAGAAAGCGTCTTCGGATCCCCACTCGGAGTGTGTGATCTAGAGAAAATAGGATTATCAGCGGGAATTCAAGATGCGATAGGAGAGCATTGGAAAATGAAGAAGAGTCGCATACGTAAAGCTTATCGGTTCCTATAGTCAACGACGTTAGTCTGAATCTGTCCAAGAAGGCGCTCACATAAGACAATACCTTTTCCCATAATTGAAGATTAAGCTGTGCTGTTCCAGCAACTTTTGCGCAGCCCGCGGAGATCGAATGACGGCAGGACGCTTACCGCTTTGAGATTAGAGCACAGGTGGACTTCGTAATATTGCCGTGCAGAAATTACATGGATCGATGAGCAGGCGGAGAAAAAGGCGGTCAGTTCATGTCACCTACAGTGGCGCCGCAAAAGTCTGTGACCCCCCTAGTTGACCGCCTTCAGCACCGCCTTCCTATCCTAGCCTACCAAAATACGTAGTCACGTAGTCGCGTATCGCGTTATATGCAATATTTTGACAAATATTTAACCACGTCTACACTATGCCTCGCACATATACTAGAGAGCCTATCAGAGAGTATGCCACGCAGCGTGCAGGCAATTATTGCGTCGGATGGATGGTACACCAAATATTAGCTATTGGATGAAGATTTTTTGGAGGTTTTAGTGCGGCAGAATTTATGGCAGAAAAGGGCGGTCACTCAGGGGGTCACAGACTTTTGCGGCGCCACTGTACTACGCACATCAACCAACTTATACAAGGGAAATGTTAGCTTAAAATTCCATTTTTGTTATCTGAATTCGACATTTTGGTTTTTTGGGCTATGTTCCAGATCCTGAGGTCACAACAAGGCCAGGGGGTAATCATACATGTACAAGTGCTATCCTTCCCGCTGGAAATCCTGGAAGCCCATGCATCATTAAAACAAACGCTGGGAGCGGAGCTACCAGCTCCGCCTGAATCATCTCGCAAATTGAAAACGCCTCCGATGACAATGTAGATCGTGGTAATTCATGTGATTAGAAAGGGTTGTTGTGTTTAGGAAAGCAAAGGTTGGTACTTCAATGGCACGACCCATTTGTTCCCGAAATCGATTCCATGGCGACGACGGGTACCGTACTTTCTCCAGACAATCTGAGGGATTCCGATGTCGGCAACTGCCAAATTCCAGGAGAGTCTTTCGCCAGACAGAAGAGCATTCAGCACACCAGTCTTGGGCGCTCCGAGACACACGACCGATGTGGCATTGACGCAAAGCCGGCCACCTTCGGCCAGAGTAACCTCGCCTTTGGATAGTTTTGTATTAGTTACACCGGTTCGGACTGGTTTCCGTAAGTACATACCAGTAGAAGCATTAAGTCCGGAAGGGACATCCACAGACAACACATCGACGTTGCTGCGGTTCATCCACGAAATCATCTCGAAGGCCACACCTTGGTCGTCAGTTCGAAGGTCATCAAAGGACAGATGCATGCCGAACAAAGCGTCGATAATCAAATCAGGTCCCAGGTCTGAGGTGGCCAAGCGAGCGGATAGTTCTTCCCATTTGAGCACGCGACCCCCGACCTTGCGGAAAATATCAAGCTGTTTGCGGCAGTTCTCCAGTAATTCAGCTTCGTGTTCGAGCCCGAGCAAGCAGACTGTAACCCGGTGGCCTCGGTTACGCAGATGGCGAGCAGCAGCAATAGCCCTTGCCCCCGTACGATGGTTGCCAGTAAGGATAAGCATAGTAGGTGCGGCAGCATCATTGGAAAGAAGAGCTACAGCGGCCTCTGCTATTCCCCGGCCTGCATTCTCTGTAATGATCTCATCGGCCAAGCCAAACTCAGCGACCGAGATTTGCTCGATCTCCAGAGTCTGCAAAGGGCTCACCGTGGGACAGCTGCGATTGGTGGTTGTGAGCCGCAGCGAACCAGCACTAGAAACATTGGGAGCAATCATAGGCGACACCGACGATCGGCTTGGTCGGGGGCTCGTTGTACGAGAAATGTTGACGTGAAGCTGACTGCGGCCAAGCGCACTAAGCTGTGGCACCATTGGCGGGGCCTGTATCGCGCTGTCTTTGCGGGGAGGTTGAGCGTGTGTAGGCGCTCTCGCCCGCTCCCGTCCGGATATGGTCTCGCTGCTCAGCTTTGTTTCACTAATTCCTTCGATATCATCCCCGGTGTCGCTGTTCTGTGGGCTATCCAGTACATTCTCCGTCCAGTGTAGGTTCTTTCCGCCGTTGGTGCCCGGTTTGACTTTTCGGTTGAAGCTCACCAGACGCTCGTCGTCTGCGGTAGTGTCGTCGTTTCGAATTTGTTCAAACACAGTCCGCTTGTCAAATTTGGACAGGTTGCTTTCGAAATCGAATTCGCCCAGCTCTTGGATATCAGTAGCATCTTCGGTTGCCCATCCACTTGGATCCTCGGCATAACGGCGTGACTTCTTTTTGCGAAGTTTAGTTCCAGACCGGCTCATAGCTTCAGGTGAATCCTGGAACGCAGGGGCAGCTGGCTCAACAAACGCAGTCTGGCGCCAGCCTTTGCTCTTTGGGTTGGTGCTTGCTGCGGCGCCGTGTTTAGCGACATATCCTCTCTCTTCCCGTGCAATTTCTTGGTTGGTACGTCGATTTCGCTTTGGTGTCTGCTTTGAGGGCGACAATTCCTGCGGGCTTTGGAGTAATTTCTTGTGGGAGGTCCCTTGTAATCCGGTCTTCTCACTATCCGCATTCAATTCCAGGCTGCTAAATGGCTCACTCAAAGAGGCCGAGACTGCCCCATGGATTTGGTTGGCGGGGACAGCGGTCGAGGCATTCTCAACAGCTGGCGGTTTAGATACGAGAGGGGCTTTTGAAAAACTCAGAATAGCCGGGTCGGTAAATTGTTGCTGTGTTGGAGTAGATTGAGCAGGAGCTGGAGGTAAATGCATTGCTGTGTAAGATTGAAGCTGGGGGTTAGGCTGATGCTGATGCAGTTGCTGACGCTGCGAGGGAGCCTGGGTATTGGTTTCAAGAGAGAGGTCGGTGATAGCAGAGGCATCAATAGAATATTGAGGCAGGCGTTGACCATTCCAGAGAAATGTGACTGTATATCAAAAAGGTTAATGATGACATACATATATTAATCATTCATAGCTCACCATCCTGGAGCAGCAAGCGCTGCCCAAACACATTAGCGACCTGGCCCATTAGCCTTCCACCCTGTGGCTCTCTCAACGTCACCAGCACATTATAGCCAATGAATTCAGAAGCCATAATGATTGTGAGCCTTTGTAGTCCAGCTAAACAATCATCAAGCGTGCAATTGTGTATTTGCTTAGAAAACGTGTCACACTTGAGATGACCCTACGGAGATAGGACGAAAGAGCTCGATCGGGACACGTGATTTATCTTATCGATAAATGATAGACGATAAACGATAAGCCGTGGGGTCCACGGGTGCCCATCCATGAATGGGTCTGCTCGGCTTATCGGTCTAATGATGATCCGAGATATCTATGTATTAGAGCGCGGCGGCTAGTGAGGTCTTAGTGAGCGATTCAGGCACTGCCATATTTTCAATTGGACAGGATATGCACCTTCAAGAAAGCCGAATCACCAGGCGCATAGAGTACAACGGGGCTTTCTACCTAGATCATGCTCACGCGCGACTAACGAGGTTGACTAGCAAGGGCATAAGTTATGGGCATAGCTAGCGGCAGGACTATATCCCAAACTAACAAAATAATATCATCCGACACGAACACAGCGAGTATCTAATATTTGCGTGGAGTGTCTCAGCCCCAAACTTCCCCGACGTTCTGCTGTCCACCCAACAAACTGAGAAGGAGGAGAAAATATCTATATAACTAGACATCTAAAAAGGCATATAAAAAGACTATCGGAGAAGGCTACCTGAGAACACTATGGCCGCTTATGCCGCCGACTATTTGTTGATAAGTAATCAGATGTCTTAGATATTGATGTCATTTCTGACTAGGGAAATGAAAGAGAAGCCTCATAATCTTATATATGAATCAAAAGTCTTCGTCATCAAAGTCATCTGGGTTCAAAGCACTTGATGACTTGGACTTGTTGATCTCTGTGATCGTGATGAGGTTGGAGTAGAACTCCACTACTTTCGGATGCACCATCACCTTGCGAGGCTCGAATCGGGTAACCTGTAGTCCCTCTTGTGAGACCGCGCGACTGAGTGCAACATAAGCCTGGCCCTTCTCAAACACTCGGCCCAGGTCAACTTTCACACGTTGAAGAGTCTGGCCTTGGGCCTTGTGGATGGACAGAGCCCACGCCAATATCAACGGAACTTGTTGACGCTGGGCTTGTACTTCTCCGTTAGGAAGTTCAATCTTCCATGTCTCGGGTTGACACAATAAGTGACGTTCTGACCCATCAGGCTGGAGGAAAGATACTAGTGGCCATTTCCGGGCCATTGAGGCTGGGCCCTCTTTGTATCCCATAGGTTTGAGCTTTTTCCGAGCCCGATGAGCCCGCTCATCATCGCTTGCAGTCGCGTCATCCGTGAAATTCTTGTCGTTTTCCTTATAGGAATCAAAGTAATCTTCACTCATGAAGGCTACTACTTTTCCAATAGAGCCATTGACAAGCGAATCCTCCATATTCTTAATGAGCATCACTTGAGCACCCTTCTTCAACTGAATCATAGGAGGCGCCATGCAGTTTGCCAGCAGTCTCTCGCGATGCTGAGGGTCCTGGATTGTCCCGGAATCCACTGCGTTGAATCTCATCGTCTCGCCAGAAAGTCTCCCCATCCGTGCAGAGTTGGCACCTTCCACTTCAGCGCGCGTTGGGAACCTATTCAGTCAGCTTTAGCACAATATAATTATATAGTCAAACATACAGTTCCGTCGCTTCGATCTGGTCTTTAACATCAAGGGGCCGAGAGAGCCGTTTGAAGGCCTCAATCGTGCGGGGGGTGATTTTCCCCAGTCGCATTTCATTCAGCATATCAGCAAACTCCGGATCTCGTTGACGGAAGATATTGGTTAAAAGAATGGTATGTTGGATACAAGTTGCCCAGGAAGCAGCTGCAAATGCAAATTTTGCCTCCCGGTTGCTTCCGTCTGGAACGGGAGGTAGTTGGAAGAAGTCGCCTGTCACAACAAGCTGGATTCCTCCAAAAGGACGACCATTGTTGCGAATTCGGCGGGAAATCTCTTCAAGCTTATCAAATAGATCACCGTCGACCATGGAGACTTCATCAATGATGAGGACTTTAGTACGCAGCCAGCGATTTCGAGCTTTCTGGTTTTTCTTAATCTGGAGGTTTTTAGCATTAGTAATTCCTGGGTGAGTAGAGAAACCCCTACCTTTTTCACTAGTTCGGGCACTGGCTCTTTACCTAGACCAATTCCGGCAAAGCTGTGGAGAGTTACACCTCCGATGTTGCAGGCCGCAAGACCTGTGGATGCTGTGACTGCAATTCGATCGGGTTCCTTGCGATATTTGTTGCGCAGTTTCGCAATAATTTCCCTCATGAGTACGGATTTTCCCGTTCCTGCCGAACCGGTGAAGAACATGCTCTTTCCACGGTCGACAACAGCGTCAAGAACAGCTCTTTGCTCGTCACTCAAGAAAACAGTAGCAATCTTCGAACGGTCTTGTGGTTTCGGGTTCATGTCGCTTTTTTGGGTCTTCTTGTATTCTTGTCGCAACTCTTTCTGTTCCGCCTTGATGGTGCTCTCGGACTTGTTCCATGGTTCTGTGGGCCTTGAACGTTTGGGAGTCACAAAGCTCTTTTTCTTGTCTTCGCGAGGTTCCTCTTCTTTAGTCCACGGAAGAGTACGGGGTTTCCTCACGGGCGGTTGGAAATGGGAGGGAGGCGATGACGACCACGGTAACTGCATGCTACTCTGAGGAGCTGTTGCTTCTTGGGACATGGATGGAAGATCAGGGTAATTGACTTCTGTTAGATTTTCATTGCCGTAAACAGGCTTGCCGGTTCTTGGTGTAGTGTCAAGGCTTGGATATGTGACTGCCTTAGGAATGGCGGAGCCAGCCACGCTCGGGGCAATCAGTGGCTGTGGCTCATCGAGGTCCAGGTCATCATCGAAGTCATTTTCATCGAAATAAACTGCGTTATGAAGGGACCCCAGCGAGGACTCGGCCATTTCAATTTTTCGTTTGACACCACCGGATTGTGATCGTGACTGTAGCTTCGAGGGGGCCGTTGCATTGGCACGCAATAAGTCGGTCTGGTGAAGAGGTTTCGTGCCACTGCCTGAGTGGTCTTGGAGGGCTTTCTTGAACATTTTCTGGGAGCCTGCGGCGGGTCGAGATGAGGATGAATACGCAAATGAACTCGGTAGTCTCTTAGGGCAAGTCAAAGAGAACGATCGAATTATGTGTATGCCACACGCCCCAAATCTGACAACATGCATAAAATAAAAGGCAGAATGCAAATCAAGACAATGAGGTCGCGCCAGACAATTCCGATGGGACGCAGATCGATTTTCCGCAACGCGTTGCAGACGCGATTATCTGCACGTGATGGGCCACTGATAAGGATAATATCTACGTCTAAAAAAACACTGAACACATATGTACGGATTTATCTCACTAGGTTGTATTTATCACATATTTTGAGACATTATCGGTTTTTCTTGGGGCCTAATATACTGTGTGCAATAGGAAAAGTCAAAGAAGTAGGCTTTTGTTGGCAATTAACCACCATACCATGGCGAGTTGTCTGAAATATATACTTTGGTTTCATTATCAATATTCACAGCACATTGACCCCAAACAACCTCAAAGTGCGAGTTATTATATGTTCACCATGCAATTGGACAAGAAAATATATTAAAATTGTAGCTAAGTGCAATTTGTGTACTTCATTCAAGCGTACTAAGGAATATGCGAGGAGACATCAGATCACGTGACTGTCAATTCCGCAAAACATGCGGAACGAGAATGCAGAATCCAGATATTACCAACCACCAGCCGGGAGAGTACCTTGCAAATCAGACGATATTGAGGCAGCTTGCACTCTACGACCATGAGGAATGGCAGGGATGGCTGTTTTGAGTACGTTGAACAGCTTTTTCGTTTGAATTCGAGCACGATTTGCTGACAAGCAATGTTATAGACAAAGACTACCCTCTGACGGGTGTAGTCATCTGCTTCACATCCGTGCAAATTGAGAAGAGAGTATGTGTCACATAGGGGCTTGTGACATGTGAATCTGCAAGCACAGGCTGACCTGCGTTCCCATTGTACAGACTCCATTGACCCAAATGGCGGAACAAATGGGCGCGATGCACAGTATCCACCTTACTTCGGACGTAACCCATTTGCTTGTTGGTGACACGAACAGCGACAAGTACAAATTCGTCGCAAGGGAACGGAATGACGTGGTGGCAATGAACCCGGAATGGATCGAGGCCGTACGACACTCATGGACGCAGGGAGAGGACATAGACATACAGGCGTTGGAGAAACAATTCAGACTGCCAACCTTGCATGGCCTCAAAATTTGTATCACTGGGTTCTCGGATCGTGAGTTGGCACAATTGAGCATGGAGCAACGCTAACAAATGCGCCGCAGTTCCTTTCCGAGCCTACATGCAGAAGACCACAGAGGAAAACGGGGCCGAATATCGGAAAGACTTGACCAAAACTGTGACCCATCTTATTGCGCGCAACTCGGACGGTGAAAAATACAAGTTTGCAACACAATGGAATATCAAAGTTGTTTCCGTAAAATGGTTTACGGAGAGCATCGAGCGTGGAATGATCCTAGACGAGCAGAAATATCACCCGCTGGTACCACCCGCAGAACAAGGCGTCGGTGCATGGAATCGATCCTTGCCGACAGAAAGGGAGCCTCCTCGAAGGGACAGCGCTACCAAAGAGAACTCTTTGAATCCGCGACCTCGAAAACTACGCAGGATTGCAAGTACCAAGCTGGTAGATCAAAACGAAAGCATCTGGGGAGATATCGTTGGAACAGGATTCGATAATAACGAGAGGACTGGACCACAAAAGAACCCACAAGGACAAGGACCACCTGTAGCCCCCAAACCTGTCATACAGGCATATAAGTCATTCGCCAGCGAGACTACATTTTCCGAAGACACACAGTCTCGTCCTCCGCTACCGGCTGCTCCACAGAAGGACATTGGATTTCTACACACGACTTATTTCTTCATTAACGGATTCTCTTCCAAGCAGGTTTGTGCTCATGCTTTTGTCCACATTTATTTGAAACTAATGCATCTTCTAGACTAAAGTTCTGCGTGAACATCTCACCTATAACGGAGCTCAATTGGTGAATTCACTGAATGAGTTCTCTAGCCCTACTATTCCCAAAACAGGGCATGGCCTGTTCATCATGGTACCGTATCAGACTCCTAGGTCAGAGATTCCGTCAACGGATGAAATGGCCTTTGAATGCGAGGTTGTGACAGAGATGTGGCTGGAAAGATGCATTGATGCTCGAGCTTTTGTTCCACCCGAGTCTCATGTGGCGAGCACTCCATTTCCCAAGTTCCCTATACCAGGTGAGATCCTATCAAATGCAAGATCCAAACATGCCCTAATGACATTAGGATTCCCCGAATTGCGGATTTGTTCCACCGGCTTTGGACGTATCGATCTTTTACACCTACGCAAACTGGTAGAGTTGATGGGCGCCACATACGGTGATTTCCTAACGCAGAAAGCATCAGTTCTTATTTGCAATGATCCCAAAACAGCCAGCGTGGACAAACTGAGGCATGCAGTCGAGTGGGGCGTTCCAGCAGTGTCTGCTGACTGGCTCTGGATATCTATTCAAACTGGCCAAAAGAAGTCATTCGGGCCATACATTGTCCGACGACAATTACCCCAAAACACTACCAGCACAGACGAACTCGGTTCCTTATCTGCTAAGCGAAAGCAACCCGACAGAAATCTTGATGAGAGGCAAGCGGATCCCTCGTACGACATCTCTACCGAGTCCACGAATGTTAGTAGGGCCGAGAAGCGAAATTCAGGGAAGAGCGCAGCGACTCGAACAATCCCCATCGTCGGCGGCGGCTTTGAGGCTGACACACCAAAACCCTCCGTTCCACAGTCTCGGTCTCCAACTCCGGCCAGGATACCAGACAAACAAGCCGCAGAGGAGCCGAATGCCAAACAGCTCACGCCAAGTACCGACTCGGTACCACCCACTGGCCCATCCGCATTAGATACTGCTCTGAGCGGGCTCCTACAGCAAGCCCGCGCCGCCAAGTCACGGCAGCAGTCCGAGAGCACTACGACCAATGATGACGGAAATCCACCCCGACGAAAGCGCAAGCCCCTCCTTGGCCGCGCCCCATCCCACTCTTCAGCCCGAACGCTAGAAGGCCCGCGCCCCATCTCACGCGCCAGCTCGATCGACACTCTAAACGACGACGGCCTCGGTAGCGCCTTGGAAAGCGCTCACCCGACTAGAGAAAACTCCATATCACGCAGCAATAGCCGTGCCGAACAGAGTCTGTCATCCATGCTCAGCGGCGGGAAATTTGATTTCCTGAATGACAAACTCCCAGTCCACACTGAGGACGAAGATGAGGAAAACCAGGCACCGCAGATGACGCAGCTGGATTATGAAGATCCAGATGCGGCTGCCATGAGGGCGGAGTTCCTGAGAGATGCTGGGAAGTTGTCTGGTAAGACAATGAAGACCGATAGCTCGGGTTTGCTTGTCGGTGAAGTGCGGGAGCTGGAGGATATCGGGTGGGGTTCTGGGCGGAGGACGAGGAAACAGCCTGTTAAAGTAGATGATGGATGATTTTGCATACGGGATGGACATCTTGGTTTTGCTTTTTTTCTTTCATCGGCGAAGGCATGGCATTGCATTGCGAATGGCGCTCTTTTTGGTCTATCTATTGTCTTGAAAGAGCGATATCTAAAGGTTGTCAATGATAACCCAATTCGGTTCAATACCAAGCAAGTTACATGTCACCAGGCCTACAATCAGAGTGATAGCGACGAGTTGTCTCGAGAAGAAGCTGCATTTATTCTGATAGTAGACAATCAGGGACAGAAAGAAAAACGAAAGGAAACCAGCGGTCTTGAGGTCACTAGCAAGAGAATATTTGAACTAGATGAAAGCTTAATTTAAGGGGGAATATTGGGTAAGGATTTGACTACCTCTGGTGCACGCCATCACGTCATGGAATACAATAAAAGCCAGCGAGGCAAGAGAACCCTGCACAGAAATGACCATAAAGCCGACGTGAACGAACATCATAGGAAGAGTTAAGTAGATTATGGAGAATGGATGGGAGAAAGATATAAGCTGTACAAGTCAGGAGGTAGAAGAAAAAGACAGAAAAAGGAACATCGTAGGAATCATGAGTGGTTGTACAAATGTGGAAATAGGCTTATGCTTGCATCGCCCCAGCCATTCCGCCAGGCAAGGGAGCATCAAGATCCAGATTCTCGATAGAACGGCGGTTCTCGCTGCTGTCCCGGAACAGGTTAGAGAAATACTTGGTGGCAACATCGCTCTCTTGCTGGATTTTGGTGACCTCTTGCTTGCGTCTGCCAAGATCCTCAATATCCTGAGAGAGACAGGTTTGAAGATTGCCGGCAGGCATGCGCAGCATGCGGCGAACTTCAGTCGAAATCCGATTGGCATTTGAGTGGACATAGTCCATCTCAGCAAGAGTGGCGGCGATCTTCCGTGATAGGCGTGGGGGAAGGGTGGTCGGGATGGAGCTGAGAACATAAGCTGTGGTCAGAACAGCTTGTATGAAGTTAGTATATCGCTATTCTTTCTGAGGACATATGGACGGAACTCACCAGCAGCGAGGATACCAGGGAAGAAAAGCCGGCGCATGTTGTTCGGGCCAATGACTTTGACAGCACTTAAGGCACTATCCACCCAGCTGAATCCGCCCAATGCTCTACCTCCAAATACAGTGACCGCAGTCATTGCAATGCCTGTCCCGGCCATCTTCTCTTGGCGCTCCCAGAGACCAGCAATATCGAAGAAATCCCACAGCTCAACCTCAGTGTCGACTTGTCGGCCAAACGTGTGGCGACGGCCACGGCGGAACATAGCATCTGCGCGGAAGTTGAGTGGAGTGAATTTGTCTTCACCAATATGCAGAAGACCGATATTTTGGATGAAACCGACTCCCTGAACTGTCTTCTCCCGGGCGTAGTTCTCGCAGTCGTTGACAGACGAAGCAATCTGATCTAGCATTGCCAGCTTCAGTTCCTCCGCGTACTGGAACGCCGAAAAGAGACCAGGATATTCAACACCGAGGTCTGCATCGGAAACACGCGTGATTGTGTTAGTCAACGTCGAACGAGTGTGATCGTAGACGTCATCGCACGATTCGTCGATAGCCTTGTTCACACCCTCTGCAAGCTCTCCCTTCTTCTTCTTGCCGTTCTCAAATGCCGGTACAAGCTCCGCTAATTCATCGGTCACTCGCTTAAGCTCCGATTGTGCAACATCACGGTTGACTGTAGCAAGGGAGCGAAGGTCAGCCAAGAGATTCAGAAGATAAGTTCTGGCAGGCGCAAGCTTGGAGCGGGAGCGCTTTTCAAGGACGAAACGTCTCAAGGCTCCTTCAAGGTTCTCGAAGTCCTGGAGTTTCTCCCGTTCTTTGCCCTTGCCCTTATCCTTGGAGTCCTTATCATCGTCATCGTCATGAGGATTAGAGCCGCCGCCATCACCACCACCAGAGCCAGACTGCGAGACAGCAGGTGCAACAGGTACAGCATTGCTTGAAACGAAATGAACCAGTTCAGCAGCCTCCTTGTATGTGCGAGGGCTGAGTTTGCCGATCTGATCTAAGATCATGCGTTCGCAGCGCTGCTTGTCGCGAATTTGATCAAATCCGTTGACTACCATGAAAATATACGCTTTCTCATGCGCAGCATTCACGATGAAGTCTTTTGCAGACAATGTGAAGTGATTTGCGGCGGAGACCACAAACACAACCACGTCGATCTCTTCCTGCCGAGCAAAGACAGCCGTGGTTTTCAACGAGTCCGAGTTTAAGCCAGGTGCATCGATCAAAGCGATGTCAACTACGCCGTTGTTCAGCAGTGATTCGTCAATAGACCGTACATCCTTCACGTAAACCTTGCACTGCATGTACTTTGTGTTTTCGATGACGATGTCTTCGAGTTCGGTGAGAGCATAGACATCATAAGTGCTTTCATCATTGCGGTTATATGGCGTATCTTTGTGAACGGCGTGGACTTCTTCAACGCTGCAGTTTTCGCGAGCATCGAGAACCTCACAGAAGATGCTGGTGCAAGGCTGTTGGTCCTCTGGCAACACCTTTCGGCGCAGAAGAGCATTGCAGAAAGTGGACTTGCCTGCATTCAAGTCTCCTGTAATCAGGACCTTACTTGAGGTATCCTCAATTCTGTCTCGCAGCGAGAGGAGATGCTTCATGCTTTGGCTGATCTTCCCATCCAATAGGGCGGCAACCGATGCCTTTTCCAACGAATGCACTAGCTCTGCTTGCGAAAGAGCGCCGAGCTTCAGATCCAATTTAAGAATAGAGAACTCTTGCGCAATCTGCGGGGTCATCAATCTAGGCTCTGTCGGGACACGGCGTTGAGCCGAGGCACTGGATTCTCCCAATTCGTCGATACTCGTCAAGGTGGCTGCGCGCCTCAGATCTGGTCGGGGCGGGGTGCTTGGTCTGCTGTCATTTCCTCCAGATTCGGATTGAGCCTGATGCAGTGTTGGCCTTTCCATCGGGGAAGAGGGTGTGCTCTGCACGGAGGGATAGTGGGCGGGCCATTGACGGTTCATGTCCTGGAGCTCCTTCAGCGTGTCGATAGTCCGAGAGATCGCACGAGCAAGCTTGGTTCGATTTGAGTTGCTGAGAATACTGTAAGCCTTGAACTGGCATGAATGGGTTGTTGCGGGGAAGCGAGACATACTAGAGGAGTTGAGAGACATGATTGGCAACCACCTGCTTCTCATGCTCAGCTGTATCCGAATATGAATTAGCTCAATTTCTCCCTTCTATATCACCCATTGCATGGCCTCCAGCCACCTACCTGTGGGATTCCATTCTCCAGGGCGCGTTGGAGTATGCACCGGAGTCGGCCTATCCTCCATCAATCCTGCACGCCAAGCAGAGCTCACATCCTCCGTATCGGCAATGCTGCCGCCGTAGCCAGAATCTTGGTTTAGCGAAGTCATCAAGGCCGTAGCACTCTCCGAAGTCGAACCATTGCCCACAGTCATATAAGTCGGCGGGGGACGGAAAAAAGGACCCTTCTCGGGAAATTCTTCCTCGCCTGAGAACCTGGATGAGCCAGCTCCGGAAGACGAGCCTTCACCAGGGTGATATTCCTGACTCATGACGGATGAAAGACCTTAACGTGGGGGCGACATCCATCCAAGAGAAGTTGCGTTTTCGGTTTGTTTGGTTATGAGATGGTCGATTTCCTGGAAGGTTTAAGATGACGTCGGGCCAAAAGGGGTTTAGCGTGCATGTGACCTGGTATCATGGTAACGAATCTGTAATCTTACCATACCACGATTGATGTCACTGTTTCTACTCAGGCTCCTTCATTGTACTTGGATTTACTTCCTCACCTCGAACTGCCTGCCCATCATTACCTGCAATCATGAATGTAAGGCACATATTAAATCCTTGAGCATGGCTATTTCACTCACACGAGGTCTCTCAGATCGTCGAGTGGGCTTTCGGAAAGCGCATGACCCCCGCGGAGCGTCTGCGTAAACACCAGCGTGCCTTGGACCGAACACAGCGGGAGCTTGACCGAGAGCGAGTAAAACTAGAAAACCAGGAGAAAAAGCTGGTACAAGACATCAAGAAGAGTGCCAAAAACGGGCAAGTTGGAGCCTGCAAGATCCAGGCCAAGGACCTAGTTCGGACACGGAGGTCGGTTTCTCTTGATTGTTCACTGATCGCGGCAGCATTGGCTGATTGGATGGCGACAACAGGTACATTCAGAAGTTCTATCAAATGCGCACGCAATTACAGGCTATTTCTCTGCGCATCCAGGTATGCACGAGCTGTCCTCCGCTAGTTCCGCGATACGCTGACTATTGCTGCTTCCAAGACCGTCCGAAGCAATGAGCAGATGATGCAGTCGATGAAAGGAGCCACAATGCTTCTGGGTAGTATGAACAGACAGATGAATCTCCCGGCACTGCAACGGATCGCGATGGAATTTGAACGAGAAAACGACGTCATGGACCAACGGCAAGAGATG